GAGTCAACAGTCCACAAAGTATTAGCATCTGCCATTAATGAAGTATTAGAGACATAAGCAAAATGTGGAGTTTTAGTGCATGATGTTACCTTATTCTGCTCTGGGCAATCCCGCGCAAAATGACCCATCTTGTGACAAGAATAACACTCCACTTTGGCCATATCAATCTTCTTAGCACCACGTTTTCCTCTCTTCTTAAATTGAGATTTATCCTTTTGATTTGACTTATCAGACCCCTTTTTCTTCCATGCTTTCTTGTTCTTGTTCTTTTGCTTAGGATTAGAAGTCCCAGCAGATTCAGCTAGAAAAGCTTGATCAGTTGCTTTAGAAGCGTCACGACGCTCATCTTCAAGAACAAGATGGTGCTCAATGTCTTCAAAAGACTTGATGCTTTCATTGTGGGTCATATGAATTTTCATATATTCCCAACTAGCAGGAAGAGATCTTATAACAGCTTGCACTTGTTGTTCATCAGAAAGATTATGACCAGCTGATTTTAGTTCTCGTATCATATTTGGCATCTCTCTTAAATGCTGCCTTATTGATGAATTAGGGCGCAGTGTATAGGTGTCAAACTTAATGGTCAACCTCCTAAGTTTTGTAGCAGAAGTGCCACCAAACTTATCTTTCAGTGCTATCCACATGGCTTGGGCCGTTGGATAAGATTCAAACTCACACATAAGATCATCAACCATACTACTCAGCAACGTTATGCGAGCAATACTATTTTTTTTTTCTTCCAGACTTGAAAAGTCTCAAGATTTCTCTCATGTTGTTGGGTGTCTTCACCCGCCGACTCAACCATCACATGGTTTAGGGTCTCCAAAACCTCTTGCTCTTCAAGAATGTATTGAATCTTACGGTGCCAAATGTCATAATTATCAGCATTTAATTTTTCACCCTTATTCAATTCAGCAATAATAGTCTTTGAAACCATTTTATAAACTTATCTACGCACATAGAAGACATAGCACAAATAAGCACCAAACACATTTTTTTTATTTGCTGCAAAATTGCATCTAAATTAATATTGTCCAGCTAGAAGCCCATGTTCAAAAGTCTACGTTTGTCTTACTTTCATCACATGTAACCTTAAGCATACCAATATTATTTTTAAATCAATTGTGCGCTAATAAATTATGATAGTTCTAAATAAGAAAAATGTCTGTCAATAAGAACTCCCACTCAATATATATATAAATTTATAAATTGTTCAATATACATGTCTCAAACAAATGACATAAACCATAATCATGGATTATTTATTTATTTTTTTTAATTGAAATTTGCCTAGAAAACTTTTAGAATTAAAAAAATTTCCCAATTATGTTTTCAAACAGTGAACTTTCAGCACTCATGTCTCATTTATTCGAAAAAATGACAAATAATATATCGTTGGAAAGGTTTTGAAAGTATCTTTCCAGTGATATATTTCTTGCACACATCAGAAAACATGAAGGGGCAGAAAATGAGCTTGAAAGTTGGGCAGTCTTGCTGAAATTTCCAGCAGTCCATTTTTTATTTTCTTTGGCAGCCAACTTTCAACACCCATATCTCCTTCATCCGATATCGAAATTTTACAAATAATATATCGATGGAAAGCTATCGAAAATATCTTTCCATTAATATATGGCTTGTTCAGTATGTCAGTCCACTCTAGGAGATAACTTTGCCGAAAGTCAGTACGTTTATAAAAAAATGAAAAACTTTTTCGAAATGTAATAAAATCGAAAATCCGCTTATTACTAAATTTTTATGATGCAATGGTGAAAAGATAATCACATCTAACAAACCTTGCTCTGATACCAATGAAGGATTTAAACTCAGAGATTTATGCGGAATTATACATACCTTCTTGTTATAGGATCAAGTGCTATCACCACCAATTGCCTAAGCGGTTTCTTACAAGATCACTATGGAGTCTTGTATTGTTTTTCACAACAACTACACTCTTTATCTAAGGAACTCTTTGCTTGTGTTGTTTGTGTTGTTCTTGGATGACCCCAAGTCCTCCCTTTTATAGGACAAGGTTAGGACTTGTAACTCTTATTCATTCAAGAGTTACATCACCCCTTATCCTATAACTCCCACTCCATTCAAGAATACATAACTCTTCTTCTTTTACTATATGGAGTTATTTAGTGGAGTTGTAACTTACTTCATGAATGAAGCAAGTTACTAGTCAACCCATCAATGAGTGTATCTATTTCCAACACATTTATCATTGACCATAGCTCTGTCCAGTCTCTTCCAAATTCTAGCTTCATCATCTCTGTGATTACACTAAGTGAATTTCTGTCCATGGAATCCCAAGTCAGTTAGTCCACATGCTTCAATAACACTGATGAATTCAAAACTTTTATCCATGTTATAAGGTAGTCCTCCCATCTTCTCATCAATATTAGTGATCACATTGAAATCTCCTATAGTACACCAAGGTTTGTCCAATCTAGAAAATTGAAGCATCTTGTCCCATAGGTCTCTTCTCATATGATTTTTACATTTAGCATAGACAAAGTGAGGAGGTAAGAAGTATGCCAAGCTACATGCTTAGCTTCACAAGTAACCTGTTGTTCATCTTGATCCAAAATTGTACAATCAACATCTTGGTTCCAAAATAACCAAATCTTACTGTTGGAATAGGAAGTAGCATTGTCCATCCTAAGATGATTTTATAATAGTTGAGCTGATGTTTGCTGGTTTTGGGTTCAAGAATTGCAATCATACAGAGATTGTAGTAATCCTTGAGTTTTTGGAGTCTATCCTCAAGAATTGCAATCATAGAGAGATTGTAGTAATCCTTGAGTTTTTGGAGTCTATCCAAAGCTCCTTGAGTGCTAATACTCCTAGCATTCCAGCTAATTGTACTAATCATCAAAGTTTTTGGGATTTGGACCTGGTGTTGATGTTACTATTGGCAGTAATTGTATTAGCAGAATTGCTGATAATATTTTGTATTTTTTTCTTTTTCTTCTCCTTTTGACCTCTAGGTGATAAACCTGCCTTCTGAGTTACTTGTTTCTTCTTTATAGCATCTCTCTTTTTCTTACTGAGAGCCAGGGTAGATTTATTGTTGAGCATTTGGGGACTTTCTTTCTGTCTCTGCTGTTTTGAACCATCATTTTGATTTGGTTGGTAGGTTGATCTTTGTTGCATACCATTCACACTGGTAGATATAGTGGGATCTTCAGAAGGTGTACCTTCAATATCATCAATATGTACCATATCTTCCTCTCTCTTTTCAGTATCAAGCATATCATCTTTAGTAGCCTTTTCAATACCAATGATATCATCAGTTTGTTCTTGTAACTGAGACTGGATATCTGCATTCTTAGAGGTAGCAGGAGCTGTAGGGTCAGTCTTAGGGTCAATCAAATTCTCATGCATAACATGAGACAATTCCCTCCCTTTGGACACCCCCTTCATGCAGATTAGTAGTTTCCTCCTGAATCCCTCCATCCATACCTACCATAACTTTTTTATCAGACAAGTCAGATATATAGGTAATTGGGGTGGGGTTGGTGGAGCATTGAGTCAATACCTGCATTTTATTGGTTTTGTCCATCATCAGCTTTTCCTGGAAGACTCTCAGTATTATCCTTTGTGTTGCCATTCTTTTTTGTACCTGTTTGGTTCATAGAATTATGTGGGGGGGGGGGGGATTTATTGATTCTGGACTCCAGAGTCAACATTACAATTTGGATTTTGAGCTCTGAGTTCAGTAGTCATACCTGCCTGTTGGTGTTGTGGAATATGCTGATTAGCAATTTTTGGACTTTTAGGTGGTCTAGCTCTATAAACCTTCTTCTTGTTGTCTTGATCTCTGTTGTATTGTTGAGCTTGTTGTGTCTTCTGTGTTTGTTGAGTTTGTTGGTTGTTTTTCCATCCTTTCCTTTTTTGAGTTTGCCATTGCTCTTGAGTTCGAGTCTCTTCATCCATCTTCTTGTTGTGTTCTCTCTGTTCAAGGGGTTGTTCCTTGATGCTCTTGTTAGCCTGATCATCCTCACTGTTTTTGTTTTTCATCTTTTCTTCTTGTTCTTTTACTCTTTTAGCCTCTTCATCCCTTCCTTTGACCTCACAAGCATTATAATCACGTCCATGTTATTTGCAATAATTACAGTAGTCAGCTACCCCCTCATATTGAATGGATAACCATTTTCTTTCACCATTCTCATCTTCATCATATCCTATTCAAACATGTTGAGGTCTTTCCTTTGTAAGATCCACTTGAACTTTAACTTTGGCGACACTACCTCTAGTCTTTTATGAGTAGCTAAGTCTAGAAAAAGTGCCTTACCTATAGGTGATAGAAGAGGATTAAGGACCTCTGCACAGTAGCAGTGCCAAGGAACTTCACCCTGGATCACCCAAACAGGTGCCAAATGAGTTTCTTCTTCAGGTTTGAAGGTAGGAGTCCATACTAAAAATCTCATCAGCTGACTTTCAACATACATTTTAGCCTTGGATAACACAGTAGCATGATCATACTCATTGTCAAGATTAATATAGATGTTTTTAGGATTGTAATGAGTTAACTTCCCTCCTCCTTTCAATTCAGTTTGCAGAATAAATTGTTCCCTGATGGTTTCCATCTTAGGCATGGTATTGATGAACTTACCGCATATTTGCATCTTTCAGCTAACTTAACCATAAAGTCCTCTCTTTTAAACACAACTGCAGGGTATCCTTGTTTGGTAGTAATTATGGGGGGGGGGGGGGGTTGATTGCTATGGGAATGATTTTTTGGGCTTCGTGGGCTCTAAGTTTGGTAGTCATGGAACCCTTCGGGGTGGCCAGTGGTTTGGGCTTGGGACTTCCATGTTGGAGGTCTCAAGCCCCTTGCCAGTGAAAGCAAGGGTTTTGCCTTTTGGGTCGAGCTTGTTGCAATGGGCTTGCCTAGTGCGGGTTACCTCTCCTATGTGGTTTGCGAGCTATTGCATAGGAGCGGGGGTTTTACCTTATGCGCACCCAAAGGGTAGCGGCTACGGGTTTCCCTGTCATCAAAAAAAAAGATTGGTAGTCAGAGAATGAGGGATATTAGGATGAGGTGGTGCAGGATTCACAGTAGCTTTTGGTTTAGGTTGTATGGGACCTTTGTGTGCTGGCTGGTGATTGTCATTAGTGTTTTTTGTGTCTACCTTTTTTGAAGGGTTATTGTTAGGCTTGAAAGTCTTGAAGTTGTTGGATACTTGGAGAGTGGTGTTGTTAGGGACATAAGGTTTCTGATTGGTTTTCTCTACGACCTTGTTTTTTCCCTTATCTTCCTTCCTACCAGGTTCACTCCCATAGTTATGCACGGCTTTACTAGGACCAGCAATATCCTTATCCTTAGTAGACATATTGTTGGAAATTTGAGCATTAGTAAGCTTACCAGTGTGATCCTCTAATGAGGCCTTCAAGTTATTTTCTTCCTCAATCTTTGAATCTGAGACACTGATTGCCCCTATAAGTTTAGTTTGATGTTGAGGTTGACTCTGATTTTCGTGCTCTGGAGTTTCCTCATAGTTCTGAATATCATCGTTGTCAGCCACATTCACCAGTTGGGAAGTATTTATGCACATTGTTACTTCATCATCCCCTTTACGTAACCTAACATTTTGTTTCGGATCAGAGTTCTCCTTGTCACTTTGATTTGGATTACTCCTCCCCAAATAATTATTTGTTGTTTTCTCCAAGTCATCATTCCTGGAATTGGAGTTTCCCCCATTTGTGAGATTTGAATCTTTGATTACATTTAAGTATGATTTTTCTCCGTTTGTTGAAACAATCCGAATGGAACCAGTGTTAACCTACATAATAATCTCTTGAATTTTACACCATTGTTCATTCAAAATCGACCTCCTACTCTCATTGTTGATACCCGATCTCTCAATGGCGTAAACTGGACTTGAGGGAGTTTGTTGTTGGATTGATATTGTTTGTACTGTGTGTCCCTCGAGGATTTTGTCTGGTGGTCGGAGATGAGCTACCAGTGGCTCAGCTGCCATAGCAGTAGTAAGTTGCCGTTATAGTACCGATGAGAGTTCAGATTTTAGAGAGAGAATTTTAGAGAGAGGGTAGAGCATTTCACAAAATCTTTTGTTGATAATATAAACTTTTATCTTATTCCTTAGTAGAGTGGTAAATTGTATGTAAGTAGAACTCAGAACTAGGTACAATGGTTATGTATCACCAAGTGAGATGAAAAGCCTCGTCTTATGTCGTTTCAAGTGAAACTTTACTTCGTTACCTGCTGCCTACTCTCAGTTTTTTACATCATATGACATGTATTCCATCACTCTATTGCAAAATGTGACACTACTAATGCTGAAACCATTAGTCATCTTTTCTTGAATTGCTTCAAAGTGACACTACTAATGCTGAAACCATTAATCCTAAGCTATCTCAATGGCTGCATAAACTTATCAATCTCTGCCCTAACAAGTTCCTTGAATATGTTCCCTACAGAGTTTTCCTACCATTCTATCTATGGTTCATTTGGACACAAAGTAACCAGTTCATTTTTGAACAAAAACCACTAATCATTAATTATTGTGGTGTTAAATATGTACCATGTGAATATTGGATGCTTGCAGGTACAACCAAGCAAATACACACTAAAATTCCCGTCTGTGACATAGGAACCACCCTAGGAAACTATTTACATGCTCAATAAAGATGCAAGGGTGGACAATAACATGAATTTTGTAGGAACGGGAGTATTTAGGGATAGGAGTGGACGATAGATTTTAGGATTTACTTCTTTGATTTCAATTACAAAAATGATTTCTAAGCTGAATTACTTGCTTCCTTACATGGATTGACTATAACTTTTCTGCATAATTTACGGCCCCTGCAAGTTAATATTGATGCTCAGGAAGGAGTTAAGTCACTTTATAACACTAACTTGCACAACTCTTCAATTTTGGATGATTGAAGGTGCCTCTTTCGGAGGCTGAGTATTTCAAAGGTGATCCATATCTACTGAGAACAGAACAAACAAGTTGATAGCTTAGCAACAATGACCACCACCATATAGGAAGCTCCTTTCTAAGGGCTTTTTTCGGGAAACTTGTGCATCCTTGGAAGATATTTTGAGTGCGGACAGAAATGGAGTTATGTCTGTTAGGAGGGCTAGCTAATACACTGATATTCAGCCCTACTCAATTCTATGTGTAATATTAGCAAAAATGGTGGCACAACCACAAATGGACGTAGCATAATATGTTGGACGTGGATTTGTACTGTTACTGCTCATAGATATTATGTTCTATATTTTGAATATTAACTGTTAAAATCTTTAGGTGCAATGGTTGTGATTCACCGAGGGAAAGATGAAAACCATTGTTTAATGCATTTCAAGTTTTGATCTATTCTGTTGGTGTAATATACCCCAAATATATCAACTATCAATTGTAATATTATGAAAAAGTGATTGTACCCAAGAAACGGAAACAGGAAAAGATAGCTAATCTTGAATGGCAGGTCAAGATCAGCCTCGTGAAAATCTTAACAATGTCTTTTGGGCTTGGTGCTTCTTCTCTTTTGTCATTATTTCTCTTTTGTGTCAGTTCTTCTTTCTAATTTGTCTTTGTTTAAATTTATTAGACAAATTATTATTTTATTTTTAATTCTTCTTATATCTGTTATTCATTTTATTTTAATGTGACACTTTTTTCATGTACTAACTTAAACAAACTCTTTTAAAATGGTGAGTTATATTAAACTTGAATTTGAGATCTTTTAAAAAAAAAAAAAGGTAAATAGATGTAACTGAATGAAGAAACATAAAAATCATCAATATCCTTTTAACAATATCAGTTTAATAGGATCCATGAAGTTCTTTTCTATTTTTTCTATTCTATTTTAGAGAGATGAAAACTAAACTTATTTCATTTATTTGTCATTTGTCATTTTTTACAAATGATAACTAACCTAGTAAATTGAACTATATAGACTAGACAAATTGACGTTGTCATTTATTTATCTTCTGAAAATGCATTATAATATTATTAACTGTACTCTAACACACTTTTAGAGAATCTTGACGATTTTCATCGTAACATATGTCTGAATGGATACTAATTTTTTTAAAAAAACTAAAATGAAAGATAAAGTAAAAAGTTACAAAATAAAAGTATAAGAAACACAAGAAATTTTAAGAATGCTTGATGGAGCAGGGTAAAGATAGGAAGAAATGCTTAATGCGATATGACAAGGCATGTTAATTTGGCGGGTTAAGGTAAACATATTTCTTCACCATCTCGCTCCCTTTTTCATCCTTTCATTTTCACGTATTGTAGGAATTAAGTTATGTAATACAGTCAATCCACTATAATTCTTTCTATCAACGTATCTTTATTCTCGGTTTTTTGATTAGTTTGGTGTTTACTATTATCAACTAATGAAATACGTATGGTTGCTTGTACAAAGAGCATGTTGAGGGGTTACTATGATCACCACACACTGCATTACCATATGGGCTTCTTTTTTATACTTTGAATCTCCGACAATTGGATTTTAGGATTTACATAGGAACCACCCCAGCAGACAATGGATTTTAGGATTTACTTCTTTGATTTCAATTACAAAAGTATTTTCTATGTTGAATTACTTGCTCCCTTACATGGATTGACTATAACTTTTTTGCATAATTTACAACCCCTGCAAGTTAATATTGATGCCCATGAAGTAGTTAAGTTACTTTATAACACTAACCTGCACAACTCTTCAATTTTGGATGATTGCAGGTGCCTCTTCGGGAGGCTGATTATTCCAAAGGCGATCCACAAAGGTGCCCCTACTACTCCTACCCCTGCCCTTCCCCCCCACAAAAAAATTAAAGTTTATTTTTTTATAAAATTCAAATTTTCATTTTCTTTAACCCACAACCAATCTTAGTTTGAAAGTTAGGTCCCCAGTCAGCTGTGGTTGGATCCCTGTTCGAAATTTTGATTTGAAAGTCAAATCTTGAGTCTCACAACGATTGTTGGTTGTCGGGGGTCAGATTCTGAATCTCAATTTGAGTGTCGAAGTCGGAACCGGAATTGATGGATCATGTTCAAGTTTGAGTATCGGGGTCAGGTCCTAGGTTGGATATCCAATCCCAAGGGGAAGATATTGTAACACCCCAGATTTTTTTTGAACTAAGACTTGAACCATCCTTCATTGTGAGTAGGATTTTACCGAGGAATTTAAAATTTCTTAAGTGTTAAGGTCACTAGATGTAGCACCTTGAGTTCCAAAAAGAACTAAAGAGAGTTCATTCAAGTCATTCGTAAGTAATTTTAAGTTTTGGGTCAACTTCAAACGACCACAACTTTTAGAACATGATGGGTTAGGTGGTCCATAAGATATCAAATGAAAGGTCTTTGAATTATCTTTCCAATGCCACTGAGTTTACTAAGTTTCAAGTTCGGATGAGTGAGATAGGCCCTTTTGAAGTCAGGCTGTCCAGTTAAGGACATTTATCCAAAAATGGTGAGGGGTATTTTGGTCTTTTCCTAACCCAATCAGATTTAATTCATTTTTAGTAAGGTTTTAGGAGTTAAAATGATTAGGTTCAGTTTTATAATCCTAATCTATGCTTAGGATTTTAGTTGAGAGTTCAAGAAGAGAAAAGAGGAGAAAAGAGGAAATGATCAAACCATTCGTCAATATTCTTGAGTTTTGTTGCAGATTTTCACCAAGGGTTTGATCCCTGAGAGGTATGTAAGTTGTCGTAGTGTTGGGTTCATTCACCTACACGCCAATCATGAGTTTCTTTAACGAATTTCATCCATAAGTTTGGATATATTTAGTTCTTGATTAGTTCTTGATAAGTGTTCTTGAAGTTTCATTCTAAATCTTGTTTTGTTGGGTTTTTTGATGAATTCTTGAGATGAAGGTGAGTGTTTTGAGGGTTTTATTGAGTAGATTAGTGTGTACTTATGTTTAGTAATCGAATCTAAGTTAGTTGGGAAGAAACCATTAGATTCTATGCGAATTAGGGTAAAAAATAGAAGAAGACAATTCGTCGGAGAGTTCTGGGGAGGGGTTGGGGCGGCACTCCAGCAGTGCGCCAAGATAGTGCCTCTGAAGTTTAGTGATATGCAAGGAATTGGAGAGAATAACCTGTATCTTATTCAATAGGTAAACATGTATAAATACAATAATATTAGAAGCTAACTAAGGAAAGAAATAAAGAGGAAATCCTAAAGATATGCTATCTATCTATATCTTTGTACAATATCAAGAAAGAGATCTATATACATTCTGTAACACTCCCCCTCAAGCTGGAGCATGTATATTGATCATGCCCAGCTTGTTACAAAGGTAATTTACTCGAGCTCCATGCAATGCTTTCGTGAACAAATCAACTACTTGTTCTACTGTCTTCACGTAGCCCGTAGATATCAAATTTTCCTAAATCTTCTCATGAATGAAATGAAAATCAACCTCAATATGTCTGGTTCTTTCATGATATACAGGATTTGAAGAAATATGAAGCGCACCTTGATTATCACACCAAAGTTTTGATGAAGTAGAATGCTTCAATCCAATTTCTGTTAAAAGATGATGTATCCACATGATTTCACATGTAGAATGTGCCATTGCTTTATACTCAGACTCTGCACTGGACCGAGATACAATGTTTTGTTTCTTACTTTTGCATGACACCAAGTTTTCACCAACAAAAACACAATAACCAGTAGTAGATCTTTGATCAATCTTGGATCCAGCCCAATCTGCATCTGCAAAACACTTAATGTGAGAGTGTCCATGATTGCTATACAATATACCAAGTGCATGGGATCCTTTTAAATAACATAAGATTTGTTCTAAAGCTGCCCAATGTCGGACTGTGGGTGTGGACATGAACTCACTACCCATACTTACTGCAAATACGATAGCTAGATGAGTCATAATGAGATAATTTAATTTCCTAACCAACTTTCTGTACCGTTCTGGATCTTCAAATGGATAGTCATCATCTTTCATAAGATGCACATTAGGAACCATTGGAGTA